GTTAGAAACCGCGCAATTCCTGTGGAGGATGAGGCTGGGATTTACTGACTCCCATAAAAGGCTAATGTCAAACTGATTATTCTTCAGGTGAAAAAAAAAAAAAATCAGACGGGAATAAAGAGTTCACTGAAATGTGAGAATGGCCAATTCTTTAAGAGGTGAAGTGTTGAATCTATACAAAAATGTAAGTGTCTGAAATGCCACGAACACTTTCCTTACCAGACGAAACCCTTTCACTGTGCACTTGACTTATTAAAAAAAAAATTATTTTTTTTTCTTCAAGCTGCTGTACCTTGGAAGGGAGTATCCTAAAGGAGCAGACTACTTTAGAAGCCGTTTGAAAGCAGCTTTTCTAAAAAATAAAGATGTGAAAGATCCTGAAAAAATTAAGCAACTAATTGCACGAGGAGAATTTGTTATAAAAGAGTTGGAGACTTTGTACTTTCTCAGAAAGTACAGAGCTATGAAACAGCGCTACTACAGTGACGACAATCAGTAACTGGTGCTAATGAGTTTGCATGTAACAATACAAATCCATAAAAATAAACAATAAAAGAGCTGTAACCTCAAAAGAAATGAAATGTAAATCCTTCCAACCCATCTAAAGTACAGATTAGGACTTTGCTTTCCCTTAAGTAGTCAGTTGAAGGATTTGGGGTTTGTGTTATATGGATAATAGTTTTTTTCTCAACTCCTTTTGACTTCCTTGAACTAAAACTTCACATATGAAACAATTTTGCAGGAAGCAGTGGTAACACAACGCTGTTGTTTCACTTCGATATACATGTTGAAAAGATAGGTCTTCTTACCTGATAGCTGTGTGGTTGAATGCCGATTCAAGGTGCTACACTTCTTTTGTTACTTAGATTAATCTGATTTTGAGTCTCTCACATTTAATGATTTGTTTCCACCATAAGTGAGCACCTTCTCAAAAGTAAAGTAAATTCTTAGAGATTTTAACTACACCTGCTTAACGTGCAAGAGTCCTGTTGGCAGGCTGGCAGAGGCGCTGTCTTCCTGTGTTAGAAAGAAGCCTACGGGGTCAGGAAAGGGGTGAATTTGAACAGTGGTTTAAGCCCTTGTACCCTGAAGACAATTCCTGCTACGACTGATTTCTGATACCATGCAACTGCTGTAGCAGGAATATAGAACTTGATCCTTTCCCCTGGAAGAGAAGTTTGACACTGGATGTTTGCTCCATGCCTAACTCTGTAGACCTTGGCTCAACTAGCACAAGCCTGTGCCAGAACTGATACTCTGCACATACAAGGGTTGATTGGTGTTCCCCACCCACCCCCCTCCAACAACTAAATGACACTGGAGATAAAACAGAAATAATCTTTGAAATATAGGCAAGTAATCACTGCAGTAGGACTGTTGGCAACAGCAAGTCTTCACATGCGTAAATTCTAGAACAGAATAAAAAAAAAAATGGCAAATTAGACAGTATACTACCTTGTGATGAAATGGATGTGCTTCAGCTTCTAGCACAACACTGATGTGAAAAACAGTCCTTCCACATCAACTTAACTCCTCTACAGTATGCTGCAGTTAAACCTAATCCGAATGAATACCTCTACATACAAAATTTAACCTACCCTTCTCAGTAACTGATAGAAGATTATCCAGACACGGTAACAAAGGGCCAAAGCATAACTTTATAGAACAGCAGCAGTTTCACACTCCCCTCCCCACCCCCGCCCAGTAGGACACAATCAGTACTAAAGAATGTCTTTCAAATTTTCTGTAAGTTTATGGAAGGCATTTGATAGAAGAAAACAAATGTGCACCTGGGAATGAACACAGAATACTTATTCACAGTATTTTAAACTTGTAGACTAATTCAAATCAAGTCTGCTGTGAGACTAATGAAAACAAGGTCTCTGGAGCGTGACTGAAGATGGTACAGCCTGAGCAGCGTGCACCAGTGAAGAAGTGCAACCTCACCTGAAGTGAGGCTCTGCTCGTCGTAGAGCACAGAATGCAAACACAGCACGGACCAGAGGAGATGGATCGGTACGACAAAGCATTTTGTCAAAGCATGGCACCCCCTCTCAGAGGAAGGGAAAGCCAATGGTTGTAACGGGCGATGAGAAGTATGAGAAATAAACCGAGAACAACTGCAAAACACGTGCAATTCATGGGATACTCCGTTACACAGATGAAGCACTGTAATTCTTGGCGAGAAAAAGGAAACTGGGACAGAAACTCACAATAACTATTTTTTACTACATTACAATAAATAGGAGCAGTACAGTTTGACAAAAAAATGACAAATTCCAGATCACCTCACAGCACATACTCCTAAAAACATTAAAAATTTGAAAACAAACAGTGGTCTTTTTTTTTTTTAACTTAATGTCTGGTATGACCAACATTCCTAGGGCACGCAACCAAATGATGGAAAAACTGGATCACACTGCATATGTTCCACATCAAATAAAGCACAATGTACAAAATGTGCATGTTTCAGTTTACACTATACAAAAATAGTTAAAATACATTCCAGGTAAACATATTACATTAAGAAGTCATTCTAGTAAGAAGTTGGCACTCAAGAGGAAAAAGCAGAAGTATTTTCAACATGAAAACACAAGACAGTGGAATAAAGAAATGTTAGGAAAGATTTACCATCTATGTAGCTTTATGTAAACTTGAGACAAAATGATTTGTTTACAGTTTGATGGTCTTTGAAGGTAATAATTGTATTGCTTCATAGTATAGAAAAGAGCAGAAGATTGTGTGTCAATATTTACCCATTACGGAGATCCTATTATAACAAAATCTATACAGTGAAACTTTTTTAAGTTAACAAAAATTTTAGGGCAACAAGACTGGTCAAAATAATTAAATTTCAGAGAAAACCAATGATAAAGTTGTTTACCAGTTACATAAAGCTACCGTAAGAAGGTGTTACTCCCTGACACATGTCAATTTAATGTTTTAAATGTGATTCACATGTTCATTTAGTAGTTGCTATCAGAACAGACAGCATCCAGGTATGTTCTTTGAAAGCATTTCAAATAGGGTAAGAAAATAACTATAAGATCAACTTGTGCAAGCTGCAATCCAACATGCTTCACCAAATCTCAACAAATATTAAGACAAAACTGCACAACAGTGGCAATGATGTATTTTTTTTTTTAAAAAGGGCTAATCTAAATAGATTTTGTACTAATTTAATTAGATTGGTAGCTACAAGATCCCATTTACTGAAAAAAAAACCAAAATTATTTTTTATATAGCTTTATAGTAGAGCTATGTAAATCCGTATTTGACGATTAAGACATTTCAGCTAAAATCTCTCCTACAGTTTTTAGTTAAATTAACACAAGAATTTTAGACCAGCCTTAATTTTACATGCAGTGTGACTCAGTTACCAAAAATCTTGAAGTAATCTTAAGATTACTTCCATTTGCTCAAGGTATACTATCGACTTTTGCTATGTTCTTTGTGTATAATCAAGAGTGTCTAAAATGTGCAAATAACTAACTGTATCCAAAATGTTTTAACCTTGGAAGCTGTAAAACATTTTGCAACATTACAAATCTGTTCTTATTCCTTATTGGTCCTTACAATATAATGTTACATTTTCCTATTACTGTTTTTCAGAATATTTCATAATCTATATTTCACACCAAAGCTGAAAGGAGGGAAGGGGGTCTGGGTTTTGGTAAAGGGTGGGGAATGGAGGGTGCAGGCAGGGAAAGGCATTATTTCTCCCAGCCACATGAAGATTAAAGAACACGCAGCAATCCAGACAGTATACGTCCCCTGCCAGCTTTGCAGCTCTCCACCTATGAAAGTCACTGTGGTTTTGTTTTTTTTTTTCATAGAAGCAAAAGAATACTTTTCTCATGCAGTTGCACCTTTGACATCATATAAATGGTACAAGTTACAGAGGTATATGAAAATTGTACTGTGTAAAATTTCCACATAATTGTTTAAGTATATATAGGGCAATGCTGTTACTCCCTGTTCCAAACTTCCCAGTGTCCTGAACTATCCTACTTCAATGTCTTGTGTTTTATTTTTTCGGGTACACCAGAGTCACATTTTCAAATTTTACTCTGCAGCTGAGTTAGGTACTATGAAGAAGTGTACCTTTGGGATCCCAGGCCCTAATGAAACAATCAAACAATGCAACATTTACAGTAAGACAACAGGAACTGGCAAGGCTGGAATTACTGGCCCTTACTTTAGCGCAGAATAACAAGACTACTGCAGTACCAAAACCTGAAAGCTTCTGCAAAAATCCTGCAGTAATTCCAATCGGGGGAAAATAAATGAGACGTGGGGGGGGGTGGGAAATCACAAGAGAACTTAATTACAGAGAAAGACAACATTAAAATCTTGGTCTAGCTTCATGACAGTCTAGACACTGGAATGCCACTCACCAACCATTTAATCTGTGCAACAAAACTAGTACTTTACAAACATCACACAAACAACATTGACTCTGGAAAACAAGTTCTATGCTGACGGTTTCTGCAAATTCCACACCATTTTTATGGCATAGTGGATTTCCAAATTATTTGCATGAAGCAGCTAAATTCAACTCATTCATTCACTCATTTGATGTTACTGGAATTTAAAGTTCCTTTCATATTTTGCACAAAATGGGCATCTGGAAATATTTAATGCCATTCTTGGGGGGAAAAAAAAGAATGGTTTTACTTTGCTATATAATTTAGGATTCATTCTGATTTAATTCTTATGGTAAATTCTGGATCCATGTATGAATTAACCTAAGAATTTGAATCAACTTATCTGTTAAGGCTTTCTAGTATTTCCTAGAGACACCAAGGGTGAAATCCTGTACTTACTGAACAAAGCTACTTAAAGATTTGCCACTCGAGGTCAGGAGACCTAGGATTTCACCTTGGTCTTCAGAGACAAAAAATTAGTGAAAGTCTTAAAGCAATGCATTAACAACAGCAAATCAACCTAATTAGAACTTTTACTTTTTCCATTGCCAGATGTGCATTGTTGTCTTTTTTTAATTTTTCTTTTTTTTATAGAAAAAATAGAGTATTTAAGGAGCGACCGTGACAAATTGCGGTGAAAAATTTTTTGTGAAAGTTTTATCTTTACATTCATTAAAAGTTGATCTGAAATGCTACAAGACTAGATGCCTAGAAGCAAAATCTACAGGAAGACTATAAAGGCTTCTGGTCTCTCTATATTGCAGTCAGTCTAAAATAAAAGAAAGGCTGAAATGAAAGTCTCTTGCTAACTAGTCCTTTTTCCCAACCAGATTTAAAAACAAAAAAATGCAAGGGGATGTTAGAATGTGTAGAGCATCATTTCATTGTTTGGTTTGCACACAGAACAGAAGTTCACGATCAGTAAGAAAAATAGGAAGTTAGCAACTGTGCATGCACCAACGAGTCCTAAGACAGTTCTCAGGTTTTTGTGTGTGGTTTTTTTTTTGTTTATTTTTGCCTTTTTTTTTTTTTCACAGGCATTGCTAGTTCAAGAACCAACAGTCAAAGAATACTGGCACTTTAAGAGGAATGAAGTTTCCACTGTCATTTAAAACAAGCATTCAGGTAAAGCTAGCAGGATCATGAAGCAGAAAGTAAAGTAATGCTAAAACAAATGCTAATAATTTAGTGTAATGTACAAAAATTACTTAAGTACTTCTTAAGAATAAGGATAAATTGTATTTACATAATTATACACTTTGTCTTTGTCTTCTTTTTCTTCTTTTTACCATCTTTGCTCATCTTCTCTTTGTGTTTTCTGATTTCTCGAACTAATGTATAGAAGGCATCATCAACACCCTGAAAAGATAGATACATGCACACATGAAGATCACATTAACAGACTTACATGCCTGCTTAGGTACAGCCTGTTTTCATCTGACCTGATCAGGCGAAGTGTGTTCAATCAGCAGTCTGTCTTGCTGCCTGCCAAGAGAGGTTACGCTGTCTTCTCCTTTCTGAGGCTTTTATAATGTTCCCTTGAGTAGCCTGTGGGTTGGAGGAATTGCCGGGCACCTCTCCAGCATTCCCGTTTCTTGGGAAGGGGAGTGCTGGGAAAAACATACTCAGATGAAGGGGACCTACAGTTGTCTCCTGTCATGTAAGAGGAACACGTCTGACTGCATTACTGTGCATGGGCAGAGGGGCCTGCAGGGCAGGAGCTTTGGGGAGTGGGCTGCCATCGTTTGAGCAATTAATCCTGGCTACAGGCTGTTCCTCTCCTGAGTTCTGAGCAGCACTCAAACAACCACTCAAATGAACTGGTTTGATGCCAGCAACAGCTAACACCTGCCTGCCCTCTTTCTCAGCTGTTCCCCAAGCTGGGCTTACAGCAGCCTGCAGGTGACTTACTGCTCAGGGCTTGACCAGAGATACCCCATAGGTCCAATTCCATTGTTCATAGGGTAAGGAAAGTAATACAGTGTACTGCCCTCTTCTCCATCTTGAAGAGGGCATGTGCTGTCCCGCCTCAAACTAGGAAAGTATAGGTACCACATGTTTAGATCGTAAGTATGTATACTATTACCACAGAATAAAGTTGTGAAGCATTAGCTAGCTTTGTTTATGTCTTGATCTATATGCAGCTTTAAAAAGTAAATACAAGTATTTATAGCAAGAATTCAATACCAAAGACACAGTTATGATGAATCTACATATTCAGGTCATTTCTCGGGCACACTGATACAGTAATCACACCACAGTTTTATAAATCTTTACATATGCAAATGACTCAAATCCCATGTTCCAATGATAAATTATTATTTGATAAATCATTGTATTCAATTTATATAGTTAAAGACACATGGAACACATTATCTCTGGTGCTGTATCATGTAGAGGTTCTTAAAATCTCCATGGCTACAGACAGAAAAGCTACTGTTTCTTCACATTGAGTCGGTTTTTATTTTGGGGGGTGTGTAATTATAGCTGACAAAAAATTAACTGTGGTCAAAGGAGACCAGCATGTCTAAAAGCTGGATATGAACCACTATCAAGTACAATGTTACATGGTATACTTTGTAACAACCTATTTACCTGAAACAGTTTAGCTAGCTTTCAGGTTGCTCCAAATTCCAATCAAGTACCCATGTTGTCAGTCAGCCTGTACATTAATAGTTTGAGTACTGAGAGTTATAAAATCACTAAGATAAAAAGCGATCTTGATCTTCACTGCCTTACTCCTTATATTATCTTTTAGATAGATCAGAAATAGTTGTCTACTGGTAATGTATCACAGCAGCCAACTGCGCCACTGTAGAAGTGTGTCTAGAAATTTAGCCCTACAACTGGCCGGCAGCTTCCTAGCTCTTGTCAGCTACAGAGCCTGCCTTCAAGCTACCAATAAAAATGAACAGTCTGCATTTACCCCTGCATGCCTACTTCAGTAAAAGAACTGGAAGTGAACTCTGAAAAAAACACAACAACAAAGAGCCAAAAATCACCTAATTTGTTACTGTTGTTTCAGTCAAACACCAAATGGTGACAAATCTTAATATGGGAAGTCCCAACAACAGAGAGGTGTTAAATAGCTTCGCTTATACAGCAATGCTCCCGGTATAACCTAGATTTATTTAAAACCTTCACATTCAAGTTCAAACATTTTCAAACATTTGCAAATAACTGATGTTTGATCAAAGTCCTCCGCAGTTTATCTCCCAATACTAATAGCACAATTTTGCAAGGTCTTGTAATATACAAAATACACTTGCAAATAACTTTTCCTACATTTTAAAATATTATTGATCAATATAAAATTAATGTAGCATGCCTAATGGAAGAGAAGCCTTTAGTTCTGGAAAAGGTCATGTCCTCCATGAATCTTTTGAGAATTAGAAATGCTTGGTATTATTTTACAGAGAGCTAGTGTATTTTCCTTATAGCTTCATCATTAATGCAAAAAAGTGAATATTTAGGAGTGTAAAAAAAATGATCTAGAAGTAGTGATGGTTCAAACTGTATCTACTGCGGTTCTCATCTCAGCCAGCTAGAAGAACAGTATTCAGAATCAATCACAACAGAAAGAATAGTTTCATTCCTACAACACAAGAATGGTGTAAGAAAAACCTCTGCACGCTACTCTCCTACAAGATTGTTCACACATCCTTACAAAACTACCTTTCAGTATTTCACACTCTCATAAATGTGTTAGAAAAATACTCATTACGAGGACAGTCACTAGCTTTCAGTGGTGTCTTCAAATGAGACACACTAAACAAATCGCAATTTAAGTCTTCAAATGAGCAACCCTTCCTCATTAAATTGGTTTTAAAATACAGAGAAAATAACTTGTGCAAAGTAATATCCAGAGACTATTATGGGCCTTTAAGCACATAACTTAACAATTAAGGCTGAAATCTTTCTTCTACCTAGTAGGGTGATGATCTTTTAGATACAGCACACGTTGCAAAATACAAGGGAATTAAAATTTTTTAATTCTTTAAAACTTTAAAATTATTAGTTTTGTATTTAGTAGCCTGGTCCTGCCACAATTCCTCTTAAATTCAGGTCATGAATATAACATGACATACAAAACTACATTTAGAATATTTGTGAATTAGAACTGAAGAACTCAACGTAAACTGAGATCTTTCACTTTCAGTCTGTGGATTACATTTTAAATGTAAGTAGTGGTTACTCTGTTTACAGAAGGTCTCTAAAGGCATCAATACTGTAAGACCACAGGCGGTCAACCTTTCTAGTTACTTCTTTCAGTAAGAAGGGACTGCATGCAGCTGACCATCCTCCCTCTAACAATGGAGTTATTGTGCGCAAGCTTTTTGGAAAGCATAAGATGTACTGAATGAGTGCTTTAAATCCAGGCCTAGGATTAGAAACTCAACATTCACTGTGCATGCTCAGAACTATACCCCACTGCCTCAATAAAGGTGCATTGACAGATCTTGCTCCTGGCACTTGTTTTTCCAAAGGGCAGCTACAAAAGGCAAAGGGAACAGAAAAATCAGAACTGTTCCCACAGAAACAGCCTGGTCCTGGCTACAACTTTTCTTTGGAGCACCACATGGTCCCATGACCATATAGAAGAGTCTGGATATGTGGCTGCATGGTTACAAGCATGTATGAGATTTGGCAACCAACCTGGCTCTCAATAAGAAGCCCTAAATTCCTAAGGAATTGGGAATTCCTTAATACCCCAGCCCCCAAAATAGACCCTTAAACAAGTCTGAAATTGTAGAAAAGAGTCCTCTTTATATTTTTTAATATACAATACACATATATATACACACATGTATCAGTCACGAGGAAGATAAATGATTTGTACAACTCTAGTACTATGGAAAAATCATTAAATTACAGTTTTAATCAAGAATCTAGACATTTTTTAATTCAAATCTAGAATTTTCGTAATTCAAACTTTTTACTATTAACCCAGCTCAATCTGATTACATTATCTAGATGTCTAATTTATGCCCTAGAGGAACTTTTTGTAATAGTATGCTTTTTATGTATAAACTTTAATGCATCCAAGAAAGAGACCTTTTGAGGATTTGACATCAGAGTTTTAGAAATGTCTTCTTGCTAGCTGGAAATTACAAATGGAGCAAAAGATGTTACGTACTTTCTGCTTTACTGTGTAACAGCCAAAGGAATGAGCCTCTTGGAAAGCATCAGCAGTTAATGGTGATCTAGGTACTCAAAGTTTTCAGTTACCTTGTACAACATTAATATAACTAAGAAGCCATCCCATAAGCAGGAAGAAGATAAAATTGAATATTCCAAAAGGTAGCAAGAGACTCTGAACCATGAAATTTGATTATCCACAGACAAAAAAAGGAAAATAAATACTGTCTATCATTGCAAACTGTGTTATAATGAATATTTTTGAAGTCTAAAATCCCAGCTGAAAAACTCAAATCATGAGGTGCTGCTCTCCTTAGCTATCTACTACGCATCAGGCTGAAAAATACAGATGATCTTCCTGAATGGAAAGTAATACAAGACAGACTGTTTTAAATGCCAGATTTCTTATTCCAGTGGAAATCACTACTGAACTACAGCTGTACCACAATAATTTTGGAATATGCTTTCTCCAGTTTAACCTCCTAAATACAAAGTTGCTGAGATGACTATCAATACTATGTAGACTTCAATTGAGTATAAAGACAAATGTTTCCTCCCCTGAGCAGACTCTTGAAGCTCTACAGTCTTATACTCAAGACTATTTTCTAAATAGTATGGGAAAAAAAAAAAACAAAACCAAAACACAAAACCAAAAACCCAACGATATCCATTGTTGACAAAAGATATTTCCCCGCTCTGGGGGAAAAAAAAGAGCAAACAAAAACCACGCACAAAACTCAAAAAAATATATTTCTCTTGGACACAGGCAGAGAGAAAGTGGGAAGCTGGTAGAAAGAAAGCATATGTTTACTGAGCTATCAAAAAGGATCTTAAAATCCGAAAAGATGCTTCCACTGAAAAAAATACTGAAAACCACAATTCCCACCATCCTGTTCTTCTCCCAAGGAAGCCCACAGAAAGGAAAAGCAGACAGAATTCAGGATCTTTAAAGTCTCAGTACACAAAAATAAATTCTGTTTTGAGGTATGGCTACATTAGTAAGACAGCAAAAAACGGCAAAGTCAGTTTTCAGAAGGCTACAGGAAGTAGGCTTAAGCCTACTTTTAATTCGTATTGCTCTCATCAAAAGTAAACTTGCCAAGCTACTGTTAGTTGGGTTTTTGGTAACTAGGAAAGAACAAAACAAGGTATTTTGATGGCATCCATTTTATTGATACTCAGATGCAAGACTGGGGAGCTTCCTAACTGAAATTTCCAGTTTCCTGCAAAGAAAACCTTCAATACAAAACAGTATCACAAAATGTATCTTTTTAAAGGAAACATCTAAAGAATTATCTCAAAGCAGTCATTCATCACTTAAAACCTGAGAATATAATAAGCCTGAGCAGATCTAGTGAAAACTGATATGAAACAAAATTTCTCCTCCTTCCCCGAGAAAAAGGAATAAAACTCCCTTATTGAAGGGAATATTCCTACAGTTCTGACAGTCTCTTTAGGATACAAGTCAAATTCCATGACCTCTCTGCAAGATGCTCTGAAGTGTGAAAGAACACCTTGAAAAGTAAACAGTTTTTCTTTTACACAATGGGAAATTCCAGGTCATCCTTCTGTTGGACAAGTATATAAGGAGTAACAACCTACTCTCTGCACTGGTGCAGTAAGAGGTAAAGAATTAATAGGAGAGTAATATACGCAAGGAGCTATTCTGATGGTTTGTTCAAAAAGCACTGGAAGTGATTTAGACTAGCACTTCTTCCATATCACAGTTTCTTCTTCCCTCTCCTCCTCCCTTTTCTTCTTACAGCAGAGTATACAGATAAAAAAATGATTTTGGAAGAATTTGGGTACTGGGGGTTTTGGTGCTTTTTTTGATTGTTGGTGGGTTTGGTTTTTCCCTCCCTCTCCTCCAGTTTTACTTCATTGTTGTTTCCCTCCCACCCCTTGTGAGGGCTCTCAAAAAAAGTGAAACCTTACCATTTTGTCCAAATCTGGATCACTCATGGCACTATAGTTGACAAAAAAGAAAACTAATGTATTTCTGGAAATACGCAATTTTTTAAGCTGGGGGAAAACAAGGAAAAATGGCATAGCATAAGGAAGGGCCTGAGAATTAAGAAATCCTGTACACCAGCTGCTAGCCAAATACTGCTTTGCTGGATCAGGAACCTCCTGTTTCTGCATCCGAGAAGGACTACAAATATTATGATCCTCTCCCTTCAGTTCATCAACCTGAAGATTCAATCAATGTTCACTTCAACAGTATTTCCAATATATCTGTAATAAAACTTTCCTCTTAACTTCTTCACACTCAAAAGTAGGTCTCTGTTTCACAGATGGAGAACTCCATATGCAGTAAAATTAATCTATTTATCAAAAACCCATGAAACAGGGCAAATCCAGAGTACTTGGGTGTTTGCTAGGAATATTATTCAGGACTGCTATACTGAAATCTGATTGGTTTTATATCTTCAAATATGTCATCAATTAACCATAAAATGTCTGATTGCAAGACTGTCAATCATTTTTATGTGGCAAGTGATTTGTAAAACTTACCCTGTTACATTACAAGGCATTTTTTAATTTTCACGCACCCTGGAGTCTTTTCTTCTTTGCTGATTTTTTTCACTCTGTACTGTCGAATCTCTCGCACCAATGTATAAAAAGCATCCTCCACTCTCTGCATTGTAAAACACAACTCCTTAAAAACCGCTTCATTAACAATCGTGACATACTGGGACACCCATAGCAGGGGAAAAAAAAAAAAAAACAAACCAGAACAAAGCCACTGAAATTATGAGCTTTACTTGAGAGAAGTACATGGATCTCCATTTATATATTTAAAATGCTGGGCTTGCACATTTTCTGCTTGATAAATACTTTTTAATGCAAGCAAAAGAGACATACTTAAAGAATTTATTGATTACCAATTACTGTGAATATCTGCGCTTCAAGCTCTCCTTTTTTTCCTGCAGAAGGTAACACTTGGACAAAAAAGAATAAGAAATATTTTCTTCCATTGCATACCATGCTGAAAATAATACCACTTGTGTTACTGAATCTTTTCACACATTTTTGTGGGCACAGGTGTATTTAGCAGGCACAAGACCTTATTAGATTGGTAACTGGGGGTACTTATAAACACACACACTTAACCACCTATTTTCACTTCTTAGCCAAAGTGAGAACCTGTTACTGTTTGGGCAGGCAAAGAAAAGTAAGTTCGTTTATGCTCTGTTCTTCACATAAGGTGGTGTACTTTCTTTGCAAAAATCCACGGAACAAGCTAACAAGTTATAGAAAAAGTCTCACCAGGTAATTTGCTAAGAGGTTACAAAGAAATAAAATCTTCTAAGAATACTAAATTTTGGGCAACATTATTTTTAAAGCTACTTACTTTACAGGACAAGCACTATGCTATTAAATTTAGGAAAAGGGGTATTTGAGTCACGGCAAAGTGCTTTTAAGAAGCACCTTAAGTATATTATATTTCAGAGTAACTTTCAAAAGTAATTACTTGCTGTAATTATAGAAGTTATTCTTCCATGCAGAAAAAGCACCAAGTTCATTATTATCACTTTGAAGAGCCTGGTTCACATCAACGTACAAGGCACACCTCATCTGTTGTCTCTGGGCCAGGCACCACGAGGGTCCCATAACAACAACTAAGTGCAAACAGCCTGCAAAGTTTTGCTGCTCCAATTTTTCTCTGGTTGAGGAGAGTATTCCACAGATAACACAGAGCTAAGTGTTTTACCTCTCTGGTCTCGCACCCTACCTTTCTGCAGCTCTGTGTTTAGGCCACTTGGGTATGATGATACCATACTCATTTGAAAAAAAAGTGAGGACTGAAGATATCTTTAAGTGAACACAAGATAAAGAGGTACAGCAACAGCTTTAAGTTATAGTATCTGTTATTTTAAACCGAGTATATCTCTGCATAAACTTAAAAATTTAGATAACTCTAAGGATGTTCTTGTTATAACAAGATGCAAAATGTTTAGCTGCAGCTTTTAAAGGGGAGAGCAAATCTCTCCTCTGCCTTACTGTCAGTCTCATTGCCAGTTTCCTCAGTCAGATCAACAGGGTTGTTAATTTAATACAAAGTCATTATTTGAAAATAAAACCAGAATAGACTGATCATTGTGGAAAACAGTACAACCATTTAAGCCGCGCAACTTTTATTACTGCCCAAATGCACAATTTGGAATTTTATTTGGCAGATTTTCCATAAATTATCTCTCCAACCCATCTTTATATTGTGCAACTAATAACAAAAATAGCTAACATTTACTGCCATAGTTCAGTTATTGGGTCATTTTGCATGAACTGTGCCATAGGTTATCACATTGAAGACTCATTCTGCCTGCACTGCTGCTTATCTGAGGGTTCTTCTGAACTACAGTGACTTGAACTTAAAGATTAAATGAATTATATTTATTCCTTGGATTGCATTTCCCTGTTTATATGTAATATGCCCTCTTAGGATGTAGTGAAGTATTGACGAGGCAACAAGTCTTACATTCTAGGTCTGAGAGTTGCAAAATAGAAAGCAAGCCATTAAAAAACAGCAAAACCCAAATAAAGCTCATACTTTCATGTATTCCTGGAAGGAATGGAAGTTTATTTCTGAAGAGGAAACAGTAAACACTGATCAGCTGCTTTGTGCCAAAGCACAGGCTGTACAATAATCAACATTTTTGCAAATCTACTGTTTTGCAGTAGAAATATGTAATTTGATTATGGAGCTTTCATTTGAATAATTAGATAACAATTCTTCAGTCAACATTTATTGCCAACTTTCCCATCACCAATATAAGCTATAATTTGCTTTAGCAATGCAGAGAGAGGGAGACACAGACAGAGTGAGAAAAGAAATTGCAAATACTGCCACCACCAAGAACAGTCTTATTAATCCTGTTGAAAAAAATTATTCTCAAAGAAAATCTGTGCAGAGACACATTTGCTAATTCATTAGCACAAGGTGACCATTTTGAAGAGCCAGGTGCCAGTCTTATAAACTCAAGAAGTAATTTTAATACCAATTTATTTTAAGATTCTTAAATATTTTTTCCTTAAATGAGCACGGAACATATATCTAAAATATGATTAGCCAGTTCTTTTAGCTGTCAGAACTGGAAGCAAAAATATCCTTTGGCAGATATTAAAAACTTCAAAATCTAAACAGCCCAAAGAACCCATGACCTTGAGGCAGTGTTTTCAAGATGCTTTTGACTCCTAGGAGACAGCCAAACATTCAATTTTAAATATGACTGTGCAAAGAAAGACTATTTCAAATACAGACCAAAGTACAAACAGGAATTTTCACATGTTCTGCTTCTGTAAATAGCCTTCAAAGGAAACTAATGAAAGTTGACATCTCACAAGTGTTCTGTGTCCACCTTTATAGACTTTATCAGAGCTGGTCTCCTAAAACCAACTGTTAGACAAATAAATAAATAAAATTAAAATTATTCATGAAGACATGAGAAAAACCAATACTAGTCACTTGCATAAAAGCACTCCCAACATAAAACTTTGTAGCAGTAAAGTCAGCTTAGCCAACACTGGAGAATACACAAGCCTGCAAAAATCTACTACCTCATGTAACATTTAGCTTATAGGTTACAGCTGATTTTTTGCTGTCTCTAAAAGACGTAATACTTCAAAAGAGTGTTTGGAAATAGTTAATACAACTCAGCCACACACAGAACCTCCACTAGTTTGGGGAGGGAGGGAGGGTTAAGCTGATCATATTATCTTATGACAGTAAAATGCCAGACATATATCAGTAAATTCATATTAAATACTGCACAAAATCATGATTAAAGTTAATCACTCCAAAGTTAAGAAGTGCCAGAATTAGTGCTGTCTGTCCTACCTGAATTGCATCCATTGCACGCATGTATCCTTTTCTTTGCTGCACCTATTTATCTTTACATTAGGCAAACAACAAACCTGTTTCCTCAGCATCCCGGAATCATTCAGCACACAAGCTGGATGCCAGGATTTGTTTCAAAATTATCAAAAACTTTTTTTTCTTGGGGTCTTGTTCTTGAGAAGTACTATGCTTTTTTAGAAAATTTTTAACTTGCAACAAACAAGTGACATGAAAAAACTCAACCCACATTGTGAAGTCTGTCTGACAAAGTTATAACTAATTGAAAACAAAGTTTTAAAATGGTACCTGTACACATCCACTACATTAAAAATGGCTTGGAGTGAAACACGTACAGTATCATTAAACAGATATGACAAATCCCTAAAAAAAATGGCAAGTTGGTTCAAGCAAACTAAGTTATCAGTTACTCATGAATCTTAACTGAAGTGTAGGAATGAAGTTCTGTAAATACTGCAACAATTACTTCATCAGAGCAGCTGCAGGTTCCCTATTTTCATCACAAGTTTGGGCCTAACCCATTGTACATCAGACAGCCAAAATAATTATAGTGCTTTTTTTAACATCATCCTTGTGATTTAGGTCAACTTCTTCATTAAACACTTCAAAAGTGTGTTTAAGTATATACTCTCAACAACAAGACCTAATGCTTTGGGGAATCCTTTACTACGCTTACAATAATGCCCATATATCTGCTTTTCCATTTAATTCAATACTAGCAGGACAGTTGAAATGTTTGAAGGAAAACAAAATCCTACAGTCAATCCACTTTTGGAGTATAGCCTTACAGCTTTTCCTTGTGCAACTCACAGGCAAATGGAAGCCCAGTAAAGAATACAGGAGGCAGCCTTGGTGAGGATAAATCCAGTTTGCCTCTCATCTCTCATTGATACCACTGATAATATTGGGAGCTATAGGCTCATGTGGACAGGGAGAATTCGAATTTAAAGCTTATGTCAAACAGAGAAAAGTGAAAACAGCTATCAAAACAAACCTAAGAAATTCATACCCTTCTACATAAGGATTGTGAAAGGATGAGCATAAGTGATGCGCATGCCTTACAAAACCACCAGTATTGACACGTGTTTACATTTAGAACTAGGACTATCACTACTTTTCATAAATTACATTATAATCATTTCAGTCAATGTTCTAATTAAAAGAAAATAATAATCTATAGCCTTATATCCAAGTTGTAGGGTCCACTAAGGAAATGTTTCACTGATGACTCAACGATTTGTAAGAAAATTTACACAGTGATTTGGCTTAAAACACAACCTTTTTGCAGTAAGTTAAAGTTTACATCTTTATTGCCAGTCAGAGCCAAATAAAAACAAATACACTAACTTCTAGACCAACTTCTTTCTGCACTTTGTTTCAGTGTTTTTCTCCTTCCTATTTTTGACCTTGTCTATGAATTTTCGAAAATCTTAAAAACTGACTTAGTTGGAACTGAGATACCATTCTGCATGAGCATACAATGCCATCATTTTAAAAAAGGGTCTTGTCAATCAAAACAGACTACATGGAAAACTTCTTTCCATTTCTATCTCCCCTGTTTCCTTCCCCAGAAACCTTTCAGATTCTCTCTGAGCTCCAGAAGTAGGGCATGGGGAAGGGCTGAAGGAAGACAACAGTGGGGGGCCCTTCAACAGGGCATTAGTGCCAATGTTTCACTGTGGTGGGAGGTGCGTACAGGAAAGGAGAAGGAGGTTCCTACTTCTAAATATTCATGTCAGACATTCTACAGACTCCAGAAGTTAACAGACCACCAGCCACATCTGTTCATACTTAGAAGTTCTGCATGTAACCAGAGAGGACCAGATTGATTGATTTATTTATTAGCCAAGGACTGAATTCTGCCCAATAAAAATATAGTCCACAGGCCACATGCAGCTCACAAAATGGTTTGAGTCCCCTAATTAAAAAAGTTACTTTGCAAGATGTGTGTGTGTATATATATGCATGTATTTTTTATATATGACAGTATGACTGAAAAATCATAATATGTAAATCCATATGCATACATATATATACACTAATATTTAGATCTTGTTGTAATTAAAGATCAAGTTCTTCCTCCAATTCCCTTTTGTCTTCTCAAAAATATTTTATTAACACAGCATCTTATGAAGCAGTTTCATAACGCAACACGTTACGAACAGCACTGCAAAAGAATTAGCAACCATACCTAGCGGTTCCAACTTTTAGAAGCCAACATTCTCAAAAGAGTATATTGGGTATCTTTATTTTAAAATCCACGATACGCTTTTAGGAACTCCTTATCAGTCGAGGGTGTTAAGCTCAGCTTTGAAAAACAAAAGCCAACAGTCAGATCCCTTCTGTAACATTTCAGTTGGCACCTCCAGAAATATAAAGTCACCGACAAAAGCAGTCAAATTATACAATGACAGTTCATATAGGACTGATCTATTGTCCTCTGAAACAAGTACAAACCTCTGGCCAACCTCTTAAAGAGTCCGAAAGATAAAAAAGCAGATACTACTTTGTGTAAACAAAGATTATAAAACCGAACAGGAGTGGTGATTTTTGAGCATGCAATTTTGTGTTGGTTAGGCACAGTGGGGCTGCTTGTAGGATTAAACTGCAGGTGGGGTGCGGAGAAGAACTCTTTGAAAATACACCATTGTATCAACATACTTTTATTAAAAGTGGCTATGTCAAAGAGATATTTCCTGAACAAAGCCTGATGCTCTATAAAATAGGCTGAACAAAGTTAAATCTAGATGTTAGTACAAAACTATTATTTCAAACCTCAAATATAACTTCAGAGTTCTTCCTTTTTTATCTTACCATCTCAATGAAAGCCACTAATACAGAACCTTCCAAACAAGAACACTGTAATTATTCAGTGCACTTACATGCCACATTCTTCAGAACACTCCTGTGGCCTAATTTATCCTCAGCCATTAAAGTTGTGTAGTTTTGTTCTTTTAATCCTACCTAACAGAGACCTTGTCTATTGCCAAAAGTTAGCATTCCTTTGATTCCTCTGTAAAGTTTTACTAATTAGTCCAGGTTTCAACTTGGGTGGGTGTGGCAAGTTTGCACTAATAAAATATTTATTTCTTATATCCAAAAATAACTTGCATACTTGTCTATGAGGAAACCCTGCCAAGTGATGCAGCTGAATCTATTTAGCAGTTACTCAAATTGCAGTATTCTGCCCTTATTTGCCTCCTTTCGCTACATCTAATTCCTGATTCATAACTTGCGCATAACACTTATGATTATGCCGGGAGTCTGAGTTTTTCAGCCACTTAGGCCTGATCTAATTTGTACTGACAGTAAGTGTTTGCTCTTAAAAGAAAAAACATAAATCGGCATTTTTCAAAAAGGATGCTTTCTTCCAGAAGTACCTTCCAGAAGTTTCACCTGTATCTGTAGAGCTTATCTTCTCCTGAATGCACAGATGTACCGCTATGTGCGCCTTTGTCCTAGCAATCCCTGAGAGAAGCACTGCAAGGACCCTAATGGCTGCCTCTTTCACCTATACCAGTACGGTACAATAAACCAACAGCGATCACTAAAATCTTAGAAGACTATCAGTTTACACAAGCAATTAATCCAGTAATTTCAAAATAGACTTATGGTCAATTGCTTAGCTATAAAAAGGTCCATCGAGCATGTCCCACTACTGCTGAATCAATGCCTCAAAGAAAAATTCCTTTTGCTATTAATGAAAAGACTTAAAACAGAATAAACTAATTAGCTGTTTGTGTGCTTAATCCTCTTGCTGAGGAAAAAAAGCATTTCACCTTGAAGTAGAAGTGCTTTTTATTCTATTAAAACCTATCACAACATTAAGAACGCTGCAAAGGTCTGACAGTGGAGAGTAATAGCAGGCCAAGTCTCATTCTTCAAGTTTTGGCGCAACTGAAGCAAATCACTCGTTAATAAACAATTACCGGTTATCAGCAAGTAGACAGAAAGAAGAGACACCACAAGAATTTGTACTCCGGAGAAATACATCAATTGATATGACCAAGAAATGGTCAACGCCTAGAATAATTAACATCATGATAATTCAGATGAGAGGTCTGCATTTGTATCTGCTAAGTTTTGAGCTTTACCTGTCTTGTCTTTGCTGATGTTTCAATGAAAGGAATTCCGTAACTTCTTGCTAAATCCTGAGCTTGTTTTGTATCTACTGTTCTGGAAGGCAAATCACATTTGTTTCCTACTAGCACCATTGGGACATCTTCAGAGTCTTTAACTCTCTTTATTTGTTCCCTAAAAAGAAAAAAAAACAAACAAAACACCACAACCAAAAAAACAAAAACCAAAAAGACAGATAGTATTTAACAGGTATTAATAGTTTATATGGTAGATTTTAAAACAATGAAAAAAGTTACATGAACAGATTCCAACATCATTCTTTGTGTTAATTTACTGAACATACACTATTAGAAGCCACCCCAAAAAAAAAAAATTGGCCAATCCTGTCACCCTCAAGTTTATCATCTTATTAAAAAAAAGTTAACATTTTGCAAACTACTATAGATTTTGATGTCATCACACTTTTTTTTTTAGTTTTTAACAGCTAAGATAAAGCACTGTCAAAAGTGTTATGCCTGTTGTCTTGATTCTGGTTTGGTTGTTTTGGTTTTTTTAATTAAAGACAGCATTAAAGACTCCAAATTTAGACAGGGGTTTTTAAGCTTTGAATACCACTGGTCTGGTTCTTTACAAAGAGAAGTTTGGTAAGAGTCCTTTCCAACACTAGTGAGAAAGCATCTCGAAGTACTAGTTATATGTATTGTCAAGAATCTCAAATAAGAATCATCAATTTCATTACTTTTGCCTTCCTAAATAATCTAGCAGTATTTTCCTTGATTAATACAGTCACTGTTTTCAGTTATTTATTTATAAGCCCTCAGCTTCAGTCTGCAAGGTTATCCACAAGTGTGTGAATGCACAGTAGAAACTCCAGCATTCAACTCACAGCATTCTTTGAAATAAACTGGGAAGACCTTCTTGCGCAAGTCTGCAACTGTCTCTTTGAAAACAAAAATTCCACCTAAAAACCTCTATGCTCCTCCTTCTCCTTACATCAACATCTATCTTACCTTTTGCCATTCTTCCTCTACAACCAGAGGAAACCCATTTGTAATAATCTGGTTCGATAACGAAGAGAAGTTTATAGTTTTTCTCAGAGCAATGGATATGTTGGGGTTTTTTTAATTTGTCATCCCTGCTGTGCTAACTCTTAACTGTTTCTTTGATTTTTTTTTTTTAAGTCACTAGTACCAATACATTCAATTAGAACATTGTACATATAATGAAATTTATACAAAGGCTCACTAGCTCAATTTAAATATAAAAAAGAAACAGTCCTGAAAGCAAGTGCTCTTGATCTCTCCCTGGGTTAGCATGCACCAGTTTTGCCCATCATTTGCAACCGTACACCTCTGATCCCGCAGCTGCTCTAGGGCGATAAGCCAGCAGTAAACTATTTCTGTAGGTAGGCATCTACCTGTTTAGCTACTCACATCAGCACACTACACAATCAAAGGAGCTGACTTGCTGGCATATGGGAAAAAAATGAAACTATGCAATCAGGGCAGTTGCACCTGCTGACTTCGATTACCTTCAACTGTCATGGTATCCCACCTTAAATGAGAAACTGTAACTTCTAAGAAAAATGTGCAACTTCAGCTTATGAGTAGATGTTTGGTTTGTGGGTAATACTGATAGCAAAATACTCCTCCACCATAAAGCAATGTTGATCTGACAGCATTATAAATGCCTAACTATGAATAGCTTAACATTGCATGTTTGGGACTAATCTTAAACTGATGCTGCTAAACTCAGTGATCTTTGGTGGGATTTGCATTGCCTTCTAACAGAATACCCAAGGATAATTCAGTATAATAGTAAGCTACTAAGTTATAAATTATCTGGTATGGTGATCACCAGACTGCTTCTATTTCTCTATTAGTGTAGCTGATAAAGAAAGCACGAGTTGAAATTTTTAACTAATTATGAAAAAAAAAAGAGAATATGAAGAAACTAGTAAGAGGTTGTTTTTTAGCAGTCATCCTAGAGCTCTGATTTTGTGTGAGTCTGCCCTTCTTAGGCATTAGGGCTCACACTCGTCACTCTTCTAGTAACAGCCTGCAGGTATTTCCCCTCCACCCTCGGAACAAAAGCTAGCAATTCATATTGTCTGTACAATTTCAATTGCATAAGTTTTTCCACCTTAGCACACAATTTTATCTATGGAATGGGCAGTTTACCTTTAGCTAAGTCTTCAGTATGAATGGGCAGAAATACTAAGTCACATTAGTTTATACAAGAAGAGCTTTCAGATATTTTTTCTGCCTAACTTGCGAATGAGGCAGCAGATTTTCAGATTGTCCCAAATTCCAGACCTACAAATGCACAAATAAGTTGCAACGTTGCTAATTTGCAAATTTCCCCTTAGATGCTATTTCATAAGAGATTGTTCTATTACCTAGTGGAAGAGCAAGCAACATATCCACCTAATACAAGAGTCAGTCGATTATCTTTCAATCTACCCACCTATAATGGTGAATATCTTCAAAAGACTTTGTATTGTTTATAGCAAATACACAAAGGAAGCCTTCCCCTGTTCTCATATATTGGTCCCTCATTGCACTGTATTCTTCTTGACCTGCTGTATCAAGAATATCCAAGAGACAGGTTTCCCCATCAATTACTACTTGCTTCCTGTAGGAATCCTAAGAAAGGAAAAAAAACATAAACCTTGGTTAAACACAAACAAGTACGATTTTGAACATCTGTAACTCAGGAGATATTAGTTGTTTACTAGTAATCAAAGATGACTGAAAACACTTAAGAGTCAAAATTCAACTTTACAGATGGGCACATGACAGTAGGAAAACAGTATCCCATATTTACAGGTATACAGTCACCCAGAAGTGGAAAGAGCACTGAAAGGACATGTTCTTATCTGCATTCTGCATCTACAGTGATTAACAGTGCATGTGTGCACACACATAGAAAGAGGGCAGTGTTCTTATTTTGCACAAAAGGATAAAAAGTACAAATCAGATCCAGATCAAAAGCATCTCCCCTTTGTTCCTGTTAATAGAAGAACTGAAAAAACATGTAATCCTGATTTTAAATGGTTTAGCTTTGTTTAAGCTTACTCAATTTACCAAATTTTTTTAAAAATTAAAATTTGACCTTCATTCTATGGATGTTTATGAAATCGTTGTGCCACAACAATGTACAAAATAATAAAATAGAAAGAGTGCACAAGCAAGACAACTCCAAAAATCTATGCCACTGAAAAGCAAATGAAGTATAAAAAGCCTTCAGTGTTTGGGACAGGAAATCTGTTTTGCACACCCAAGCAGGTGCATATAATGATATTTGTTATTAAGTTATCAAAGTTGAGTTGATACATTTGAAGTTCAAGCTTTTTAGCCAAGACAGACCAACAGAGTCACACAAAAGCCCTGATGGGTTGGTTCAGAGATGTTGGAACAAATTATTTCAATGCTATCAATTCAAAGTTTTCAGGTCACTGATGCAAGTGGTTAAAATACGTACAAAGTCCCAAGCAACTACATGTTAATGTCTATGTACAGCTCTTTTTGGTGCTAGGCTTCTAGGACTATACAGTTTTAGTGATAAGAACATAAGCATTACTTTCCCAATAACTTCTATAAACATCTATATATTTGAAATAAAACCATGTCAATAAGCTTTAAAAATAGGCAATTCAGCAGTGCCATGAATTATTCTCAGTAAACAGTACTTATAACAATTAAAAGATATAAACACAAAGTCTTGGTATTACCTTTCAGATCCCTTAGCTAGAGATTAACACAATAGGTATTGTTCTTTTTAACACTATACAGAAGCGAACCTAAGCTACTAGGAAGGGAATTAAAGTTGCAATTCTAGCCTACTTCAGGATGAATTCAGAATGACCTTCCTTCCTTTGTACCCATTTTAAGGCACAGCACACCTACTCCTGTGCACTTTCTATCTATTAGTATTTTTACATTTTACTCTTTTCTTCCTTGTTGCTCACGCTAAAAAAAAAGTGGGAGATAATTGTATAGAATCAGCATCTTAAACTAAACAAACTCTGTAATCTCACATTTATCTTGAGCCTGGATGACATTTAACAGCATCAGGCAAAACAATATTGACTGTTTACCTTAAAGATAAAAAGTTTACACCTCCAACATGATTTTGGAAATAAATATTTCACAGAAGTGCAAATTCAGTGTTCAAGTAAGAAGTAGGTAACTTACTTTAGAAACATACAGGCCACTTCTAAATATTGATACATCTGAGACAAATACACAAACTCCATAGTGTTTAAAAATAAGGTTAATATTCTATCTCATTGCTTACAGGGAAAAAAAAAAACCAAACAAACACCACCACCACCACCCCCCCCCGAGAACGCATCTTTATTCCAATTCACTTAAATTCAATAGCAGATCCCCCATGTCCTATGATACCTTTATCACAGTTCACAGTGAAGTACTAGCAGAACTTCTATCATTATACTGGGCATATTTACAAAGCTTTCATTTCCTCTTCTTGCAATTTGACTGCTAGTTTAAAAATATGAAAAACAGTTCTTGAAAAGCCTGTATTATTCCTTCACGTCTTAGCACTTCAAAGGAAATTCCCCTCAACTGAGCTCTAAACAAAAGCTTTAAGTAATTTTCATCACAGAAAGCCATTTTTCAGAGAAAAGAAAATCACTTTTAAGAATTGCTAGCTTTAGCATGCCTACCATGTTACCAGTAGCAGCAAAGATGCACCAATATAAAGCACAGCACAGGTACAAAAGGAAGGAATGCTTTGAGATGACAGTTGTTTTGCTCACTTCTGGAGAGAAAATTTTGTCACTAGAAAGGGTATTTGAGGCAGAAGGCACAGAAAGACATGGGAGAGAAAATTCAAGCTTATGATTTCCCTCCAAGCTACTGAAATAATAAACACTTGGCTTTTTTGCCCCTTCCCCCCTGCAAAACATCAAACCTGAAATCACATTTGTCACTGTAGGAAAGAAAACCGAAGCACCACATTAAAAGCTCAGGCTACTGGGACCCCCACCTCCATCACAGTGAATATCAGTGTAAACATACGCAAGATAAAATCTGTTTATTTAAGTGTTACCATACTGTAACAATTACCAAGTCCTGCAAAACAGAATGTAGGATGTAACCAACTTATGCCACTATAGTACTTGTGGCATTTCTGCTTCAAAATGCAATTGCAGAACCAAATGGCCAGACTCCCCTTCAACAACAAAAAAAATAACCTTCTAATCTATAAATTTCATAATTTATTAAAATCCAGTAGCTTTACTGCACTTTGGAAGATTTGCAGTAATGAATGCAACAAAGAAACAATGAAGAAACATCCAGTATAAGGCTATTAAGTAAAAACAAAATGCAAAGTAGAAGTTAATTTCAAAGCAGTACCCAACTCCAAATACAAATTTGCAATTTTTCCCCAGTATACAGAGTCAACATATTTATATAAAAAAGTTTTAATTTCATTAATCACTTAACGTGTTTTTATTGGTCTTTCACAAGCCATAAAAATCTGCTTGAATTATGCTAAAGAAGTAATAATTCCATCTGTTCACAAACTCTGATAAAATGTGATAGGACATCTCAGCTGTACACTACATATGGAATTTATCTAAAGAAACCTCACTGCTTAATAAATCCCATCTAAGCAAGTATCTTATTTTGTAAAAATCCATTTTACCAGTGATTATGTTAAAATATCACAACTACTAAGACTAAGCTATTACTAAATATTGATGGAAGTTTCACAGGTGCGTAGGTCATTTAAGAACACAGACTTAAATATCAGTATTCCTAAACCAGCCGAGGGATTTTGCTAATCCAATTGAAAAGCCTCTGACAGGCAACTAGGAAAGCTGTTCTTTCTCTAGGACATTTAAAAGAGGACATGCATTTAGCACTAAAACATTCTGAAGCTGTAAAAAAAAAAATTAAAATAAACCAAAAAAATTTTAAATTACATTATCACACCAGGTATCACTACTAAAGATTTAACAAACCTCGACCAGTAGAGGTCACTAGTCCAACTGTTCTGTGTATTGGGCCAGCGTTACAAGGGTTAGTGTACATACAGCTAAAAAAACCCACTTAAAATCGCTTGGCTGTAAATCTGTGCTTGGACATCTACTACAGATATGAAATCGTGAAACACAAAAAGCATATAGATTTGAATAACAGTAGCCACCCAAATATGCACTCATTTTAATTCCTCCCCCTGCCCCCATCATTGCTACGCTGAAGTATATAAAATACTCAAGCAGTCCATGAAACGTCGATTTTTCCAAACAAGTTATTTGTTGAATCATTAAGTCTATTCCACTGAAAACAGCAACAACAACAACATTGTAACTGCATCTGTCATTGAGTAACTAGTATATTTTTTTTCCTCCCTTCAACTGCATCAGGTCTCCACAACAGAAGAATTTTAGAACTGTTGAGTTTCGTTTTGTTTTGTTAATCACAGGAAAGATTTAAAGTTATTCAATAACTGTGTAGTTGTGGAATCCACTATAGATAACAAACATTGGGCTCTTTTCTCTGTCTAGCCCAAAATATTTAGCTTGATTATTTATCTGCAAGGGAAAATGAGTATTTTGGCAACAGCCATATGGCAATGAAAGAAACAGCAGTAAGTGAGAAACAATAGTAGCGACACTACTGAACGGTCTTAACTGTTATTATTTACCAGTCAAAGCGACTTTAGCCTTATTTCCTCATACTGCATAAAAACCACTCTACAGCTATTGTTCTTTGCTCAGCCCCTACCACCACAACTGCACCTACACAGGAAGCACAATCAAGCAACCCTTCTCAACTGAATGGGATTCTGCCCATGCAAGGACTGAAGCATCTAAGCTCAATTACCAGCCCATTCTCTGCAACTTTGCCACTCCAAATCACAGACCACTCTTATTATAACTGAACTGTTTCTTCCCTACAAGCTTACCTACATGATTATAGCACTGTGAGCACAGACAAGGTGATTTACAACACGAGTAGGAAGATACAGTCTCCATCCTCAAGGTCTCAGAATTTACAAGACAAAAAATGGTAACTAGTGCTCAGACAAGAATTTGCAGGAGTTGTAGAAGATTAATACTGCTGCACGCCACAAGTTGTGGATGCTGGTAAAACCCATTAGGTTAAAGGTTTCTTTCTTTCAGAAGAGCATACTGATTCTGGACCACATCACAGCGTTACGGTCATCCTGCACACTACAAATAAAAGCCACAGTTCTGGGATTTTAGGTTCTTTCTATAAGGAACTGTATTTTGATTCTATTATTTTACAATAAAATGTATTTGGTATTCCCCAAGATACTCAGCTTGTGATTAGCAAAATCCCTCAAGTGATTCAGGAATGCTGGCATTTAAGTTTCTGTGTTCCTAAACTGTTTACTCAGTTCTGGCTTTATATGACAACTTATAACATAGAAACTCCACAGTATTTTTTTTAATGCCTAAACACACCCCTAACCTAAGAGAAACCCAGATGACTATGAACAAGTATTACAAAGATCAACATCCTCCAAAGCTCCTTTTACAAGAAAAAGTAAAATCCCATTTAGCTTGTTCCTCTCATTGAGTTGTGTGTGTTTTCTGGTTTTTTTAAGCATGTTGTGGGTTGCTGTTGGTGTAAGATTTCACATCTTAGTAACTGAAAGAGCTGCTCTCCTAGAGCAAGTCAAACAGTCTTCCCCTCTCCAGAGGTCTACTCACAAAATCTTCTACAAGCATACATGAGGTTATTTGGCCATGCAACAGAGAGACAGGACAACACACAAGCACATTAAGGTAAACTCGAACTCAAGCCAACACATCTCTGTTCGGGGAGCATTAACTCAGGCCTGTACTTCACTGAAGGCAGCTTCTTACATCGCAGGGCACTGGCTCCTTTCGCTTATGTCTACCTGAAAATGACTACACAGCCATTTTCCGAGTCACCATTTTAAGCCTAGATTTAAACTCTTGCGATTCCTTCAAGTGAGCTTGGAAGTGCCTCATTGTATAAACATATAAATGAAGTCATAAACTACAGAGCTTCACTGCTGGGAACATAAAAATCTTGGGTAAATTATAGTGTCATTTCTCCTTTTATACGGTCTGAGGTTATTAAATCCAGCAATCCACGGGAGATTTCAGACAACACTAATATTTTTGTTATATTTAAAAGGCAGAGCTTGCCTGCTCCTTAAAAACCTCTAAAATATCACAACTTTTAAAGCTTAACTACAATTTCAGATTTTGAGGAACTGTGCCATGTATTTCAAAGAATCCACTACAGCAGCTCTCTTACAACATTTTTTTCTAGAGATAGAAACGCAGACTGGTGTGTTTAAAAAAAAAAATAAAATCAGGCTCCAAATTTTTGCTTTACTCACCATAACATTCCAGGACACATTTCTCACCATGTGAAACAGATCCTAATGATAAGAACTGAGAAAGCTTGATGCATACATTTCAGAACTACAAGTTTTTCTCCTTGATATCAAAAAGGAAAGTCACACTTCAGAGGTTGCATGCAAAGCCATGAAGTTTTGCCAAGCATTTTCAAGCGAATTTGGCAAATACTTTGTCACTGAGATGCTAAAAATATGCACCCAAATTATCCAACAAAACATTGTTTAATTGATCAACATTGTTCATTTTTTACTGCAGCTGTTGTTTCACAGCCAGATCAAGAAGCACAGCAATTTCCTCTCCAATGCTGGTCCAATGGTGACCATTATCTTCGAGCTCTTTTTATTATAAAGCTTTGTTCTACGTTTTTGTGGTAACTGTCCAAAAGTAAACAACTACCATTACTACTGATAATCTCTCTTCATAAAAAGTATAAGATGAAATTGTTTACCTCTATTGTAGGGTCATATTCATCCACAAAGTGATTCTGAATTAGCTGTATTGTCAAGGCGCTCTTGCCTACACCACCAGCTCCAACGACAACAAGTTTATATTCTGTCATTTTTTAGCAGACCTGATGACAAAGAAACCAACATTAAGCAGAGTCAGGCTCCAACTAATGAGGATGCTGTTGGTGCGTTTTCATTCGGTATCACGTTTCTTTACTATTACCGGAAAGCAACTCCCTCCCTGAAAGACAAGACAAAAAGCTGTGAGGGAATGCGATTTGTCAAATAAAATTATACACAGAAAATATAGCATGGGCACTAAGCTGAAGGGCACCAACTACAAAGAGATAAAAAAACCAAGGATACACTAAATTCAAAGGTCAAAGAATATTTCTTGTGGGGCAAAGATTTTGTTCTCCGCTGCTTTCTCCCAAAACCTCGGTGACTGTGAAACCTCCCGGATTTTTACGAAAGCCGGGCCCAACCGAACGCCCTCAGGTTGAGCCACAAACCCGGGAACGCTCCTCCTGCAACTAACTGGCTGTGACGGGACAGGCGCGGGTGCGAGCACAGCTTCACCTGACGAATTCGTCTCCTCAGGTTTGGTTTTTTGTTTGGTTTTTTGTTGTG